AGGAGCAGAAGAGGCGTGAGGTCAAGGAGCAGAAGAGGCGTCAGGCCGAGGTCGAGGAGCAGAAGAGGCGTCAGGCCGAGGTCGAGGAGCAGAAGTGGCGTCAGATTGAGGAGCAGAAACGACGTGCAGAAGAACAGAAGCACCAAGCAGAAAGAGAAAGGGAGACTTCAGTGAAAATATACCAGTATAGAAGGTCTGTCCCCACAGCCAAGGGCTCACATGATTTTAATGGGCTTTGCTTAGCTATATCCATTCCTCACTGCAAATGGCACCTCATTGATCTTTCTGCTCCCTACCATCAATTCTCTATGCAGGTGAACACAAGCAGCCCAAGGGGACCCTTTAAATTGTTAATCTGATCATGTCCTCCTACTTCCTTGCTCAGAGTGCTCCAAAGAGCTTACCATCCAAAGTCCTTGCCATGGCCTAAAAGGCTCCTATAAGCTACATCTTGACCGTCTTCTCTACCTAGCTTCCTACCACCCTTCCCCTCACTCACTCTGTTCCAGCCACACCGGCCTTCTTTTGATTCCTTGAAAATACCCAACATATTCTGCTCCTAGACTTTTGCACTTTCTAGTCCCTCTGCCTGGACAAGCATCCCTCACATAACTGTTTGCCTTGCTTACTCCTTTTCTTCAAATCTCTGCTCAAACATCACTTTCTCAGACTTACCAGAATGTGTGGTTTAAAATACATGCCTCTTTTACACCGCTTCTCTCTCTCTCTGCTATTATCCTGTTTTATATTATGCGTTTATTTGCTTGTCTGTGGGTCTGCCTGCCCCAGTAAAGTGTAATATTATGAAGGCATTGATTTTAGGTTGTACACTTCTGTAGCCCAGCCCTAGAACAGTACGCTCAGAGAGCAGGCACTCAGTATATACTTGAAGAATGAATGAAAAGTGAACAAGTGAGTAAATAGATGGGAAATATCTGTTAGAGATCTATTTTCTGCAGTGTTTGGTTGGAATACTTCGGTATGTTTAGTTTTTTAAACCAGAAAACATTCTCATAGAGTGTCTAGAATACCATTATTTTGGTATCTAATTCTTCAACTCAGGGAAGTCCTTAACATTTAGTATTTTGACTAAAATCTCTTTTCCATCATCTAGGCCTATTGATTCCTATGATATACCAAAGCAAGGAGAAGGATCTTCAGGTTTGCTTCCAAGTGACAGGTTTGTAAAACATTTCATTATTACTAGTGACGTCAGGATAAAGCATCGAAAATAAATCAACTACTTTACCAATCATTCTCTTTGGTGTTTTTCCTTCATAAATGTGAAACAGATGCTCTTAATGTGACATATTTAAAATATTATATTCTGTGTTTTAATAAAAAATCCAAGGTTGGTAGGAATTGGCTTCAGATGAACCTTCCAGGACATGCCTAGATGTCTTGTACAATTGCTCTAGCCCCTTGTCTTCTGTGGAATACAAAGAGACCTTGCTGGTTTATCTTTGTATCAGGTAACTTTTTCTGTGTAACAAACTACCTCTAAGCTTTGTTGTTTAGCTCATGGTCATCTTGATCAGCATATTGCACTGGAGTTAGTTGGGCAGTTCTGGTCTTGTATCTGCCCATGTGTCTGCTACTGGTTAGTTAGGCAGTTCTGTTTTTGGGGGCTCGGCTGGCTGTCAGCCAGGGAAATGACGGCAACAGGCCATGTGTGTCTCAACATCCAGCAGGCAAGTGTGGAGATATATATATATAGAGAGAGAAAGAGACAGAGAGTGACTGAGCAGGGTAGAAAGAGAGAGTTAAAAGAGGGGATGCACGCAAGGTATCTTGAGGTCACCATTGCTTCTACCACATTCTGTTGTCTAAAGTAAAGTCATAAGGTGAGCTCAGGTTCATGGAGAGCAGAGAATTTCTCTCTCTTTGTGGGAGGAGTCACACCGCAAGGGGCATGGATACAGAGAAAGGAAGAATAGTGTCCAGGTTTTGCAGTCTACCCTAAAAACCAAAACCAAACCCACTGCCATCAAGTCAGTTCCAACTCATAGCAACCCCATAGGGTTTCCAAGGCTGTAAATCTCTGTGGAAGGAGACTTGCCGCATCTTTCTCCCACGGAGCCGCTGGTGGTTTCAAACTGTCGACCTTTTGGTTAGCAGTTGGTCACTTTAACCACTGCACCATCAGGGCTTCTATATAATAAACTGCGTTTTAAGGAGGTGATGATGTACAATGGCTTAAACTTACCCAAAAAGATGTTTTATTGGATATCTGAAATGAGAACTATGACCTTTCTCTGAGACGGCTTGGTTAGAACTAGTTAGTAGTCAGATTTGGAGGGAATAAGGATAGGATTTCAAGTATCTGAAAAGTTAATACATGTCTTAAAATTTTCTAAATCATTAAATTTATTTAAACTAATTTTAAAAATGTTTTGTGTTTATGAAATTACTAAGGACTTCTGAACAGAGTCTGTCCGTAAATCTAGTGTTTGGCCATTAACGTCGATGTTTTCTAAGCTCAATTTCTCCCTTAGTAAATTTGCTTTCCTTGCTAAACTTACAGACTGTTATAGCTTTAGACAATTGGGATGGCTGAATGAGGCTCAGAATAGTTAGGTCAAAGACAAGGAATAACCAAGTAGGAGTGGACTGACAATAAGCTAGAAAAAAAAAATAGTGATAAATGGCGTAACTTTCTAGGTAACTATGTTTATTTCTCTTTTAAAAAATCGATTGATTTATTTGTATATTTAAAGAAGCTTTATTTATGCAGCTCATTACCTTGGGGGAAAACAGTGAGGATGCAGAGAAAGGAAACTTAAAGAATCTTGAAAATATGGAACACCTCTAGGCAGTCATGATGTAGCATGCCCTAGAGGCATTAAGGAGTATTGCTAGACATCTGATAATAAAAAGTATTTTCTTTTATGTAAATAGAAGTGATACCATTGGTGAGTACTGTCTAACAGTTGTGATACCTTGTCAGTATGTATTATATATGGTTATACATTATTATATGTTATTGTATTATATACGTATATATGCGTATATTCATGTACACATCCATATATAATATCACATACTATTATATATGTTTATTATTGTTGTTTTTACTATTATTATTTTTGAAGCTCAGTGTGCCTAGGAGAATGAGATCAACATATCTTGATTTATAGACCTAAGGACGTCAGGCACTTTCAGATGTTGGTTAGGGCAATAAACTCCAGTACCTCTTTGAAACACTAGGGTAGCATTTGGTAAGTTGCTGTTTCTGAGTTGGCAGTGGTACCCTAATGCCCGAGAAACTGGTATCACCACCCTCAGGCGGCGTGGAGGAAGTGGGACAAGCTGGTTTCAGGTATTCTGATGACAGATGCTGTGTACAGCCTGGTAAGACTGAGATCTAGCAGGAGTGCAAGTGCAAAAATCGGTTAAAAAAAAAAATTATAGCTTTAATCATCGTACAAGTTGGAGAAGTACTGTCACATGCTTATATTATTTCTAGCATATACTCTTCTGTTTTGGGGTGTCACTGTTGTCAGCCAGTTAGTACAACATGAAAAATTACTTGATATAAAAATAAATATAGCTCTTAACAGACATAGAAAATAAATCAACTGCTTTAAAAAGCAATCTCTTTGATGTGTTTCCTTCATAAATATGAAAAAAAGATGCTCTTAATATGACATTTAAAATATTATATTTTGTGTTTTAGGAATAAATCCAGATCCACTACCGAACTGGATGATTACTCCACAAATAAAAATGGTAAATGTGATTTGTTTTTTCAAATGTCTTCAGTACAATTGCTTATTTATGCTATTGCATGCTATCTATGATCAGTATTTTTAAGGTCAAGATATTTCAGGTTCATTAAAACTACATAATTGAAATACTTAGTATTTTTAGCAGTTGTGTATAAAAACAAACTTTATTTTGTGCTTATTTTGGCTTTAGTTTATAATGAAGAGAATAGGAGATTAAAATGATTCTTATATAGCTAATGAAATATGTGGAAATTTTGCAAAGTGATGCTGATACAGTTTTATTTAGTAGATTTCATCTTGCAGCCAAAGAAATTAGACTGAAAAGATTCCTGCAGAATACTGGAGAACTTAAAAATTGTGTATGAATTTGAAATTGTACGTTTAAATGCCAAAATGTCAAAAAAAAAAATCCAGAATGATAATGATTTCTCTAACTTGGCAAACATCATTGGAACCAGAAATTGTTAGTATAAAGTGTATTTTTGAAGCACACATGTAAGTAAAATTACATAGTTAAGAAAAAACTCCTAAGCAATTAGCATTATTTTAAATTGGGTTTATATATGCAAATACCAAAGTAGATCAGGAGATGGAGAGAAAATAAATCTCTGTGGTCAGATGATGTTTCCTGATTCAAATTGAGGTGGGGATGATACTTCAAAGTTGTGAATGTTTTACTCAAATCAGAAATGAATAGGTAAATCCAGTGAGACAAAGCCCTTAGAATAAAAGCTTAACTTGTCCTTAATAAATTCAACATCCAAACATCCAAATTATAGTTCTGGCAGTTTCTTAGAGCAGTCACAAGTCTGATGACATTCATGGGTTATCATTTGGATGACTTGGATATTTTTTTAAGTTAACAAAAGCCATTTCAGTGGCTCAGATACACTTCGATTTCTACAGTGTGGTTAAGATTTATTCCATGGTTTATGCTATGAGAGCTTGAATCATGCAAGCTGGAGGTACATGCACTCAGGTCTCTTCTCACTCCCCAGTGGGAGTATAAATTTTTTGAAAGAAGAATACTCCCTGATAGCATGCACTTGACTGATTTAATTTTGGAAGGAAGGGAAGAGTAGAAGAAAAACTATTTCTACATCAATCTGTATAAACATAATATTGCTGCAATCAACCTCCTTAGTTGTTGAATGTGTTTTGTGGTGTTCCTTTCGCTGTGGCATTGGAATTCCCAGGAATCAGAGACTGTTAACATTAAGGTCTCATGCAGCATCCTCCGTGTGAATTGATCATGTTAGCACATGTGCACACCGTCACATTTTTGGCAGTACTGTATTTGGAGATTTATCAATTATCACTTTTTATGTACGAATCCTGAAGCTTTTGATGTGTTGTTAATTTAGGAAGCAGTAAATATTTGGACCAAATTGGGAGCACCAGCACTTTACAGAAGAGCTCCAAGAAGGAACAAGTCCCATCAGGAGCGGAGTTGGAGAGACAGCAGATCCTTCAAGAAATGCGGAAGAGAACATCCCTTCACGATGACAACAGCTGGATCCGACAGCGCAGCTCCAGCATAAATAAAGAGCCTATTAGTCTGCCTGGAATGATGAGAAGGTACGAGACATCTTAGGAATTATTTCCTGTTCTCTATTCTTGCTACCGGGTGGAAACCTCAGCATGACCCATATTGGCTAATAAATGAGAGACCGAGGTGGGAGAACAGGAAAGGCACCTTTATTTCATTGTACGAGAAAATGGAGTCAGTCGGAGCTGCTGCTGCCAAGTCTGCTCACCAAGGGCAGGCAGGCAAGTTACTTTTTTTTATTTTATTTTTATTGTACTTCAGGTGAAGGCTTACAGAACAAATAGTTTCTCATGAAACAGAAGTACACATGTTGTTTTATAACATTGGTT